AGAGGAAATATCCGTTTTCATTAATCCTTTCATTCTACTTCCTTATCTTTTCATCCCCATTTTTTTTTTTTTTTTTTTTTTTTAATGAATCAGACATCAGCTATCTTTATCTCACAACACTCTTCCAATCTCTCTCCTTATCTCTCTCTAAAAATACACTGGCCTTCCACCGTGACCAATGCCAGTGTGCAGGTAGACCAACAAACGCAATGTGCGAAGTTATATTCGAAGTTATAGTGGAATGTTTCTGCGAAGTGCTCTGTGCACACCTGTGCGGACATGTTTGCAGTGAGTATACGCGTGTGTGTGCGAGTTCGTTTGAGACACTCTGAGGATTGAAGGGAGAGTGAATGTAAATAAAAGGAATTGGGGAGCTTTTACTGCCACTCAAAGGTATCTTAAGAACGGATGTGGTATTTAGAGAGAGAAGTGTATGCTTCAGAGAAACGTTTTAGTGTGTGGGAGTGAAGGAGGCAGAGGTATTGCTCTCGTAGGGTCTGGATGCGGGATATGTACTGTGCAGTCACGAGCGAGAAATTCTGTAAAACGTGTTTCATATCCGGTCTCGGAATAGCTAAGTAAGGTGTTCCATTGGGTTTGGCGAGAATGGTTTCAAGACATCAGTGAAAATAAATAAATATTGCATCTCAATATTTGATTAAAGTTTGTCTTCTTTTCCCTCTCATGTTATTCTTTCTTTCTATTACCTGACCGCAAACAAAATTGTTTTAGGGTCTCTGCGTAGGTCGATAATCATAGCTCTGCTAATTATTTCACCTAGCACAAATGGCCACAGGATTAGCATAAAACAAGACTGGAGTAATTATGTGTGCAGTCTTCCTCCCACAACACTAAGAGAAACAGAAAAGCAGATAGAGCCCGCGGGAGTCATATTTTAGGCAAGTAATCCACGCGAATCCGGATGATGAATCCTGTTACACGAACGCCATCTCCGGGGCAGCAAGACCGAGATAACACTAATAAAAGTGTCTGTAATATTAGCATGTGACTTATACCGTTATTACTGGAAGTTCTAGAATGATATTGGGAAAATTATTATCATTTTGCTAGCATTATTAGTAGTACTACTATTATCATTATCATTATCATCATCATTATTATTAATATTTTCATTGTTATCATTATCATCACTATTTTTTATTATCTTTATAATTACTGTTGTTGTTACCATCTCCAGGACAGGAAGACAAATGATAGCGATAAAAATTTTAGAATTAGCAAATAACTCAAGGCATAATTACAAGAAGTTCAAAAAGTAATATCACTGGTTATTAGCAGTTGTACATAACCAATTGCATCAGTGGTACGCAAGTAATGTTGTGATTGTTGTTTTATATCTTTATTATTATTTTGTTATTAGTATTAGTATTACTGTTGTTGTTATTACCATTATCATTATCAACCTTATGATTATTATCATTATTATTGTAGCTGTTGTTGTTATCTTTAATAGTAATAGCTTCATTGTCATTCGCATCATTTTCATCAATAGTAATACCATCATCATCATAAGTATTGTTATGATCCACGATATATATATATTATCATTATTATTGTTATTGCTATCATCAATTTTACTATAAGCATTTTTTTATTTTTTTGTTTTTTGTCATCATTGTTTTTATAATCAATAGCAGAGGCAGTAGTAGTGTATTTATAATCATTATTATCACATATATTATCATATTATTATTACCATTATTATTATCATTATTATTATTATTATATTATTATTATTATTATTATTATTATTATTTATATTATTATTATATTAGATTATTATTATTATTATTATTATTATTATTGGTACTATTATTATTATCATCATTCATTATATTGATATTATTGATATTGGATATTATTATTATTATTTATTATTATTATTATAATATAATATCATTACCACATTGTATTATCATTATTATCATAATTGATCATTTTGTTATGTTATTTTTATTATTGCATTGTTGATTATTGTTTATGTATTACCATTATTACCTTTGTGTTTGTTGTTTTGTTGATCTCGTTTTGTTATGTTGTTGTTTTGTTGTTGTTTTGTTGATGTTGATGTTTAGTTATTGTTTTGTTGTTATTATCATTACCACTGTTACTTCTGCTATTATCATCTTTACTATTACCATTTTCATTAACAGTTTTATTGTAGTTATTTTCTTGGTTATTTTTCACCCATTTTTGTTGATAAAATTGTTGATATCATTATTTTCCTTACCACTATTATTAGTAGTAGTATAACCACTTTTATTATGATTTTCATCATTATCATGATTATTGTCGTTATTATTATTATTATTAATGATTTATATTACGACTATTCTCCTACTACTTTTATCATTACTTCATCATCATAATATTATCACTAGAACTATCATTAACAAATCATTATTACTATCATCATTATATTAACTGGATGTTCTTCTGTGTTCAAGGTGACTGTTGTGACGACTCTGAAGATAATGAACAAACGACTGGCCAAGTTAACGTCGTTTCTAGTCAGCCAACGAATGGTGTTACATAATACGTTTTCTTCTTGCCTTGAGATTCCCGTTTTCTTTACATCATTTTTTTTTCCTTTTCTGATTGAAGTCATCAGTAACATTGTTTAAATAATTATTGTTGTTCATTTCAGCTTAGATGTAACTGGAGTTTACTGAAATTTTGTCTCAGTTGTATGATAGAAAGATACGTGAATTCAAATATAAATAAATAATTAAAATTGAATTATTCAGATTTCTTTTACAGTTGTATGATAGAAAGATACGTGAATTCAAATATACACACTATATTATTACAGATAAATATTAACTTCACTTTTTAAGACTACATATTAGGCAACGTTAAAAGCTTTAATTGGATATCTATATTCTTTAAAAGGTGCTTCGTAATCAGGTTTAGCCTAAAGTCTATTTGGGCATTTTCAAAAGATCTGTAAACAAGTGCACACAAACGTACACAAAACGTTTATGCAAAATACACACATTTTCCATAATGTATTGAAATCATTTCCTTTCATGTTTTCCGCTTCTCTCGTCGAAAAAAAGTTTTTTCTTGAATTTCACTGATTAACGCTTTTTTTTTAAATATATACATATAGGGATTATCTACGATTAATATTATTATTACATGATGTCAAATGGACATACACAATACGCAGGATATCAGACAGAAAATTTTTCTTTCTTTTTTTTTCTCTAGATCTGGTATTACGAAAAACATTGCTATTATAAATGTTTGTATTGCAAGAACCGCCATAAACAAATCCAGTAACATATAGACTTTTAAGGAAAAAAATATGTTTCCACGACCATTTCACAGTGTTCTAAACATTAAGAAAAACGGTTCCGAATAACATTGATTGTTTGATATGAAAACACCATTATATTACACAGTATTATAAGGTTTTATACTCGCAATATCGTCTCCACAGTTTTGTAGTTTAGGTAAAAGTCTACAATTTCAGGAGTATGTGTAGGAAAAGATTTGACCATCAATTTTCCCAAAAATACCATTAGTGTTATATTACAACTTATTTAAGAACTGTTCTGTAAACAAAACCATTAAGTTGAACCTCAAGTTGTTTCTTTCTTTTTGTGAACTCGGTTTGCTGGTATTAATGAATACCTATGGAGCACACTTTTTCTCGAAATACATGATTTTTTTCTCTTTTGTTGTAACACCTATACAAATTATATATATATATATATATATATATATATATATATATATATATATATATATATATATATATATATATATATATATATATATATATATATATATATATATATAACTACACCAATTTAGGGGGGTATAAGTAAAAATCCGAGGAAAAAACGTTTTACTTTTATCCTTTCTCTTTTTTTGCAGTCAACTAATGCGAAAAAAATGAATATGAAAGTTGAAGCTCTATTTCAATTTCATACAAATTCTGTTTTCCCCAAATGTAATTCTTTGCGAATGTTGCAAAAGAGCCCACTCTAGTGCAAATGAACCAGAGAACTCTTATTGCAGGAATATTCCAATTTATTTCACATACCGTATCTTTGATTATACCCACAGCGATTTCTAGTTTTGTGTGTTTTGTGTGTGCGTGTGTGTGTGTGGGTGAGAGAGAGAGAGGGGGGGAGGAGAGAGAGGAGAGAGAGAGAGAGAGAGAGAGAAAGTGAGTGTGTATGTGTGTGTGTGAGAGAGAGAGAGAGAGAGAAAGTGAGTGTGTATGTGTGTGAGAGAGAGAGAGAGAGAGAGTGAGTGTGTGTGTGTGTGTGAGAGAGAGAGAGAAAGTGAGTGTGTATGTGTGTGTGTGTGAGAGAGAGAGAAAGTGAGTGTGGTGTGTGTGTGTGAGAGAGAGAAAGTGATGTGTATGTGTGTGTGAGAGAGAGAGAGAGTGTGTTGTGTTGGTGTGAGAGAGAGAGAGAGAGAGAAAGTGTGTGTGTGAATGTGTGTGAGAGAGAGAGAGAGAGAGTTAGTGTGTTCATGTGTGTGTGTGTGTGAATGTGAGAGTGAGTGAATGAGTGTGTGTGTGTGTGTGTTTTGACTAGAAATATTTATCCATCACCGAACAACGAGTGTTTTAATTTCTGTAGTAAATATTTGTTAACGGAACTTAACGGAATAGAAAATGAGAGGGCCTTTTGCAGCTTGAAGTGATGAGAGAAAGAAAAGAAGAGAAATTTTAATTTATATATTTATCAAACGTTACAATAAAAAAAACAATAATACCAACAAAAAGAAGAAATACGAAGACAAAAAACAACAAAAACATTACAAATCCAGTAAATAAACGGCGATCGAATTATTAATTTCGAAAAACAAACATCCTTAATCCAGAATCAAAGAGGACCGAAGTAATGGTATAAATCTGCCTTAATCTCACCCAGGTGTTCAGTGTTATAGATTAAATTAAATGAGTCGGAAATGTGTTTGCTTACTTGTGCTTGTGTGTTTGTGTAAATATGCTTTGA